GCGGGCGGAGCCAACAGCCTCGTGAGCAAGGAGCGGAAATTCTCACCGCTCCGCTCCGCTCACATGCTCTGCAATATACACATTAATTAATATAGTATTTGAAGTATATCATCCTGCATGCATACATCCATAAGCTATTATCCAGTAAAAGGCTGTGGTAATCCTGGAACCTTCCCAAGCTCTCTATAATACATCAAGGGTACGCAGAATTCTTACTAAACACACGGTCGTTCACTACTGGCAATTTAAAGACACTAGTGCATTCAAATATATGTTTTTTGACTGAGGAGAAAACCCATGCAAACACAGAGAGAACGTGTGGACTCTATGCACATGGCAGAAATCAAACACTAATTTCTGTACAGGTATCTGCCGACATACGTCCTATCGACTAATCCTATTGACGTCCGAGGTCCATAGTGAAAAATATACACTGATGGAGAGACTCGTGAAATGGCATGTAGTTGGATATTAGCAGGTGCCAGTCATATAATGACCAACTGTCCATATCTAACTTGTAATACAGCATGCAAGCTATATTATATATTTACACACAGAGACAGCCAGACACACTACCAGTCAAAAGTTTTTGCACAAGACAGATATTTACCACTTTTCCATTTGTTTCATAAACTGCAGATTTTTTATTCTTGTTTAGCACTGGAAAGTTGAGTGAACAAACTATAAATTAAAATATGTCAAATGAAGCAAGTTTCCTTTATAACATGGATAGAGTATGTAACTGCATGTCTGACATCCTATTAACTGGGTGTGTGGTGATGACATAGTCAAATTCTAGGCTGTCCTTTAACTTTAAATGCACTAGATAACTGTTTCATCCCATGAAACACAGCAGTATTTAATGTCCCTTGTACAAAGAATGCCTCAAATTTTCTCTCCTGTTATCAACTGCTAGAGGAGGTTGCTTTGATGAATTAAAGTTATGACGTTTTCTTGCTAATAAAGGTACTCAAATGGTGAAAATGCTCTAAATTAATTTGTTAGCAAAGAATATTAAGTGTATTTTTAGTAAATGTTAAGTGAGGGACATGCAAGTGTAGAAAATCTCAGTGTGTGCAAAAATTCATAGTGTGTGTGTGTCTGTGTATGTGTGTGGGTTTGCATAGATCACATTTGAGGACCAAATTGTAGTAAAACCTGAAATTTCCCTACTTTTGGGGACATATTTTAAGGTCCCCATTTGGATAATCTCAGTTTTAGAAAAATCTGTGAATACAATTTAAAAAGTAAAAAAATCAAAAGCAAAAGTCTTGTATTTGGGTTGGTTATTTATGGTTAAGGTTAGGGATGGGTAGGGGTTAAGGATGTTGTGATTGGGATTAGGGTTTTTCCCAAAGAAATGAATGGACGGTCCCCATTTAGATAGGAAGACCAACTTGTGTGTGTGTGTGTGCATGTGTGTGTGTGTGTGTGTATGTGCGAGCGGGTTTACCTATCCTTATGGGGACACAATGTCCCCATAACGTGATAAATATCCGTTTTTTTTTCCCCTTATGGGGACCGGTTTCCTGGTCCCCATAAGGGAAAACTCTATTTTATAAAAATCGGTGACTGCTATGAGAAAACTAAAAATGCAAAAACTCTTGTTTGATTTCTTGCCTTAAATTTAAGCACAATCTCTTTTATTATGAAGTGTTGTGGTTTTATATTTACATTATTATTTACCGTAAAGTACATAAAGTGTGTACATAACAGTACTGTACTTAATGTCTTGCCTGTTCCTTATAACTATTGAGATATGCGCAAATTGCCTTACTGCTGGTGGTCTCAGTTCCAAATACAAACGCAAGTTGACGGGTACCTGTAAGTTCTAATATACAGAATATACAGGCCTCCAAATACACACAATTTTCTTTACAAGATATTGGAATAACTAGTAATTGTTGGTGAATATTTTGATGCCCTGCATTCATGCATGCATGCATACAGTTTTCTGTGACCTTCCAAAGCTTGTTTATTGAATTTCATAATTTTTCCATACCTTAGGTAGGTTGCTGCCAATTCAGCCCCTCATTCTTCACATGGGGATTCAGGGCTCTCCCACTCGGCCTCTGCTGGTTGGCTGTAAGCGGGGATGTCTTCATACAGGTCACAGTGCTCAACTGTCAATCCCTGCGCCAAATCCAGAGCAGAAGATCTTGTTACTGTACCTCTAATGTAGTCTGATATTTTTTTTCGAAATACATGGAGGAATAGAGGAAGAGTTATATAGGATTAATGTTGAATTGATAAGGTGCTTCAAAAAGACAATGTTGTACAGCCCAACGGCTTTCAATAGAATGAAACTTCGCATCACACAAGCTCTTGGCAATGATGATAAAGCAGGAAAAAAGCGAAAGAACATCAAATTCAAGGCCCATTAACTAGTATGAGACAAGAACACCCAGCAATGCAAAAAGAATGGCCAAACAAACAGGTGAGGACAGACTCAGTGGTACTGTACTCTTACTTCCTACTTTTTGTTCAGGTGTTTGAGGCCATGTGACCTGTACTGTCTGCATGGACACACCTTGTGGCTTTGTCTGCCATTTATCATATATCAAGTATAGCACTTTGGTTGATTTGGTCAATTTTTTGCTTGTATTAAATTTGTTTTGTACCTCATACAAATGGTCATCTTGAGGTTCTTCGTAAATACCGTCCTCATTTTTACCCTAAGAGCAAATGGAAATCACACGTTATTTTACAGTAGCCATTAGTGAAATGTTTGGCCTGTTTATCAAGTAATTTAATAAAAATATACATTATTAGAGTACAATAACAATAGATATTCTAATTGTGAGCCATCATTCATTAAAGACTGAAGACTAATTAATGCTTTTTCCACTAATTAATTATAATTAATTATATTAGTTATAATTAATATAAAACCACAATTTTCTCAATTCTCAACTGATACATATTGATCTACTCTATTGACCAATAGATGCCTGTCTAGGTCAAATTCAGTGATGATAACTGTAAATATCCAGAATCAGGGATTCAGCCTCACTATCAGAGGTGGACAGTTCAGGTCCAGAAAGTAAAAATCCAAACCAAGATTTTGTTTCAACCAACTAGTTGAGCTGAAAGAGTCACAGTCACAGAGTACTCAACTGGTTGGTTGAAACAAAATCCTGGTCTGGATTTTTACTGCCCACTATCCACTCACTATGCTCACTATGTTGCTGCACATTTCATTTCAAAAACACAGCAGTAATCCAGGATTGGCTGCATGCCACCTACTTTGTAGAAGTAAAGCAGCACTGGTACAGCAGCACACAACACGAGCAGCAAACCCTGGATGATAATCATGGAATCTTTCATATTGCTTCTTTTCATTGCGTCCTTGGGTCTTATATGTCCTGTGAAAGTAGAGAACAACAAACAAGAACACCAAGTGTTCTAGATAAAATTTATTCCAATTTAAAATAACAGAAAGCAATTCAAGAATGGATTGCTTTTGAGAGCTTGGTAACTCTTGTTGAAGAAGATGCTCAATAGTGAGACACTTCTGATACTTACTGACTACCTTCAGCTCTGTCCCAGGCCCTTTGATTTTGTTCCACTCGCAGTAGTAAATTCCTGAATCTTCAGGTGTCACTTTGTGGATTGAAACTGAAGCATTTCTATTAGGTCTGGCCAAATCTATCATGAAGTGACTACTTTGAGAAATTTTTTTCATCTGCTCAGACTCATAACTTGGGCTCCAGTACCAATCCGACGCGTTTAGCCCAACACAGTAGATTTCGACTGTTCTCCCAGACTTCACACTAAGGTATCGAGGCTTTTGGGAGATGTTTTGGCAATCTGTGGATGTAAGTACAGTTCCTGAATTCAGTGCTTTTGCACAATGCTAATTCTTTTTTTAAAACCAGCAAATTTGTTTGAGTGACAGTTTTTTGAAAATAACAGCCATGCATGACATTTTGGTGCAGGGTAATCACAACCAAATGTAAAATGTGTTGAAATGTTCATAATTCTGAGCTCACTTGGGATAACAATGCATGAGCACGTAAAACAAGAAACATAAGCTGGTAACTCTTAGAGATGGGTGGGATGAGAAATGTACAACTAAAATTAGTCAGAACCAACTTCCTCTTTTATGTACAGATGGACTAGAAGAAGTGTATGAAGATTCAAAACAAACACTAAATAAGAAGACAATAATAAGTAATAATTAAATATCTTTTTATATATACCTTTCTCCACAATTAATTTGTATTACCTGCAGACAATGGTATATAATACATTTAATGTGTATATGTTCCCTTTTCCTATTTCTGAACAACTCGCACATCTGCAAGCGACATAGGATACATGTCTTACCTGCAAAGTTTATCAGGACAAGCCAAGTGCTTCCAGTGAAAATGCAGGAAAGCACCAGGCGGATGGGGTTTGGCAATGCCATTGCGCTCAGCTGAAATGTCAGTGGCAGCCCGCTTCACTGGATCAGTCACACGCAGTGCTGTGCGGAGGGAGGCGACGACTTGGTGTGATATGCTCCGCTGCCATTTCCGCTGACAATACTTCTGAGGCGTAGGGAAGGGCCAGAGATGCAAAACGCACACGTTGCCGGAGGCTGACTGTTTACGACATGGCTTTGTGAACACTGCAGAAAGGCTGCCTTAAGCGACCACACGCGGTGATAAAACACTGAGCGAGCCGGTTTTGCAAGCCAAGTATACAAATACATATATTAAGACTGAAAATCCGTTTCCATAATAGGCCTTGATAGTGAATCATGCCTTAAGTGATGTGACTGATCCAATCAAACCCAGAACCCTGGAGGTGTGAGACTGAGCCCCCCCCCCGCCCCCCCTACTGTCCCTGATCACAGTTACTCATCTCTAAATAAAACTTCACATATGTTTAGTGCCCACATATTCCCATAATTTATCAAATGATTACGTTCAGTTAGACCTGTCTCTAAATGACTATTACTATATACAATATTGTAACAGGGCCGTCCGTTTTTCAAGGCTAGTTGCAAACTAGGTGTTAGCATATTTCCGTGTGCTGCACATTGCACATGATGGCCAGTATGTTCCTTGCTTCAGGCTTACCGTGCATTAGACAAGTGATTCAGCTGCTGGACACCTTAGGACTGTATCCTGTCAGGTGGCTGCTGTTCTTGTTGCTGCAGTTTATGCAGGGCCACCTATTAGGAGGCCAGAGAGGCAGAGGAGTGCAAGTCCCAGAGGTGATACCATAACTAGACCTTTATAGGTATTTCAACTCTGTACATAGCAGTATTTGTACTGGCAGCATTGCGTATTTTGCATGTGTTCATAGTTCTGGCCTTTGTAAATTCTTTGGTTGATATTATTGCCTGTGCTTAACCACATACCACTAAATTTGTTAGACTGACTTGGGGGGGAAGTGCTTTTTGGGTCTCCGCGACATTGACAGAGCCATATTCTCCTCCTGTCTTCTTCACATGCAAGGGCACGCACTCGCAGACCACGTGCAATTTAAAGAGCGCAATGCTATGAACCCCATGTCCTGTGAAGGAAACTTGTATGACAGAGAGAGAGAGAAGATGCAAACTCTCTGCCTACGATCTGGGGTTCATTCTTGGGGATATGAGACTACAGAGTATCCACTGACTCATCCTGCTATCCCTTTATGGCTGTACTGTTATGTATGATGCTTTTTTTACATTGTGACATTTTAAAATGGTGTGTGAGTGTGCCCTGCGATGGGTTGGCACCCCATCCTGGTTTATTGGCTCTTCTGGGATAGGCTCCAGACCTCCATGACCCTGCATAGGAGAAGTGGGTACAGAAGATGGAAGGATGGATGAACATTTCGACACTGGTAATTGTGAGAAAGTAAAAGGACCACTTAGTTTGTGATGTAGCTAAATTTCTTTTTTCCATTGCAAATCATAGATCAGAGCTTTGATGTAGAAAGATTTCTGTTCCTGTTAAATAGCCTATGCATTGTCATGTGATATTAAAATGTCATAATGTAGATATAACATTATGACTGAATTTTTCTTCAGATGCTTGCAGACCATGCAAATTCATTTGCCTTTTCATTTTTTCCACACATTGCTTGGAAGAAACATGGTGTTATTATACACGATGGTCAACATCAGCTTACGTTAAGTGATTAAGGATGCATTCAGAATTGGCCGGTTGGGTGTCCATAATGATGTATGGCTTCCTCCTGCTCATACTGTACAATTACACTCTTAAAACTTGGGAATATTCCAACTGTGCATCACACTGAGCAGACAAGTGAAAAAATTAATTACACACCAATTCTTTTTTCCTTCATTTTATTCATTTATTTTATTTTATTTATGATGGTTGAAATCTCTTCTCCATTCTGATTTTCTGCTGATGTTAAACAAGGATCTTGTTTGGAATCAAGGACCAGAGTCCTTCTTGGACTGATCATGTCTATCCAAGTGGGCTAAGGCAAGGTGATCTAACCACCCAAACCTGGTGTATTCTTGTTTCTGAGCTCCACCAGGACAGCAGAACACTCCTGAAACTTCAATCAGGACAATAATCACATTGAAACATTTCAACTGTCATATTTCAAGCTATGAGTCTGAGGAACAGTATACAGTACTGTACGAAAGCCTTAGGCCACCAAAGAAAACTATGTCTAAATGAATTCCGTCTTCATGTAAAACTTGATTTTGTAAAATATGATTTTATGTCTGCCAAAGAGTGCCAGCGTAGCCATTTCAAAACCTGTCCTAAAGTTACCCCATTATTACCTTAATCATCAGATACACCCATGTCTTTGTCAAGCTTCTAGCCATTTGTGGGTAATCAGTGCCACATAAAATTATTTTAAAAATCAATTAATTTTGTGAGCTGGTGGTGAAATTTAGCAAATAGATGGAATGATGGAGGTGCCCCTGAGGAGAGGTTTGGGAACCAAAGCAGTGTCCCTCTAGCCATCCAACTAGATATCAGTAACATTTTTGAGAATTTCATGTTAACCTTTGTCATTGTTAACTTGCTTACGTTCTAATACAATGTTAAATTGTGGGGTTTTTTGAGCTTACGGAGGGAGGCGACGACTTGGTGTGATATGCTCCGCTGCCATGAGCTTGAGTAATACACTTATTACCCAGATAAACAGTTATATACATTTTCTTTGCCTGCCTAAGACTTTTGCAGCATACTGTATATGAGGAAATTTACTGGTGTGCTGTTTTCAGTAACTGCACATATTGCTTCATATCGGTCAGATCAAATGACCAGTGGAGTGTCTCTGACACCCAAACACACTCTTACAAACAGAACAAGTTGGAAGATAGAATGAAATACAGTACAAACACAAAGGGTTCAAACACTGAACCTGCTCCTTACTTGTGGCCACGAACATCTTGAAGCCCAGAAAATAGAAAGCTGGGGTAAGCTGCGATGGTGATAACCTACCACTTGGGGGCACCTGGCTGTTAAGACCCAAGGCAACAGATGAATTACATGATAATCAAAAGCTAAGAAATACAGAAGAAATATAGATCATAAATAAATAGAAAATTGAGAATACAGGAACTCTAGAAACTTTGTCAACATGATCAGGACATATGATCATGAAACAGCCAGAGGTTTGATTTTAAAGCATTCTGATAACAAGAAAACAAATCAGTGTAATCAGTCATTCACACACCACCATGCACTTTTGAAATGCCACAGTTATACAAGGCAGGGAAAAACTAATTACAGTAATTATTGTTGTACAAAGGGCATATTTCAGACATATACATATATCTGCCTTGTAAGTATTCAACATAAAATGCTTCATTCTCACAACATGTTTAAATGCTACATTCTCTGAATGTTTTATATGGATATTACAAAGAGAAAAACCTTTTTAGTGCTGAGCAAAGAGTATGTACAGGCAAGGTTAATCCCACACATTTCAGGGCTTTGAAAGCAACCTTCAGTCCATTACAACTGTAAGTAACATCAAATGCTATTTATACAATGTACACGTTTGTTGCTATGTGAAAGATGGTGGCTAGAACGCGTGATCTTCAGGCTTCGATTGTCCAGGTGTACTTTAGCTGAGAAGTGTCAAGGTTGCATTCACTGTCTTTACTGGTACAACAGGCCCTCAGATTAGGACTGAATCGAACATGCATTGCAGTGTCATACTCAGCCGTGCTTAAACCTGCTTTTCTTTTTTTGGGAGTAACTTGTACTTTAACATTAAAATAAAAAGTAAGACACATTCTAGCAACAGGATAGTACAGAAAAATCTGCCAAAAGTGCTTCTTTTATTAAAGTATATATTCGTAAATGCAAAACATTCTAATGTGAGGCTTAATGCACAGCTTGAAGTGAATACAGTTTTCAAACATTTGCTGTTACTGTTTAAAAATAACGCAAATGATATTTGAACATCACCGAATGCAATGTTGAAAATACTGAGTACAAGTACAACATATTGTCAGAAATTCCAACATGGACTAAACATGGTGGACACAGTAACAGGCTGTAAACTGTATTTATAGTGAATACGACTTTTTTTCCAACAAAGAATTATCCTGTATTTTGTCACACCTGTATTGTTTACTAGTACATGTCCTGCATCTACAGGTGGACACACTGGTGGACAACACATACACACAGTCAATATAAAGAATATAAACAAAGTTTCAACCTTAAATTGGGGGTCATCACAAGGAATATATCACACAAATAAACTCGAAACAAAATAATTATTTTACTTTACCTATTAGCGAAACCTTTTTTTGGTTTAGTGCTTTCTTTTTTTGGCAGGCAAGTTTTAGATTAAAATGAACAGCTTCTACTGAGACAAAACTACTGAAAGCAGGCAAGACCCAAACAGAAAGTGTTATGAAAGTCTTTCACAGTTAAGGGGCTTTTGGGATGATGCAGTCATCTGCATGGTCAGGAAATTTCACGATATATATGGTCAAAGGATTCGAGAAGTGTATGAGCAGCCAGGCTCTGCACTGTTTTTTAGCTCATGATACGAGACGTCTCCATGGCCCACTAGCCTCATTTTACATGACTTGCTCTTTAAGGGACTTTATATTATGATGGTGTGTAGTTTCATTCATCTTACTAAATTAGACAGTAAATTGAATATTCCACTATTCCGAATAGAGCAGTAAATTAATTTTATACATACAGTGTTTATATAACACTGGCAATGCTGTACATAGACTAAAAATGAAGGTTAAATATATAATGTATATTTGTAAATATTTAACTGAATGCATGTAATGTAATGACTGTCTATAATTCCTTTTGATGAATAAGGTAATAATCTGTAATAATCTAATAATTGAAAAATTTCCCTGTAAAAAATATGTCTAAAATAATCAATGTGCTATGGGTTAAATATTGGAATAGATGATTATCAATCATTTAAAAAAGATACATAGATACATAGAGGTATTTAGTACTTACATTTCTCAGTTATAAATAGATATCAACAGGTTCATTTCACAAGAAAACTACTTTAGGTTTTAACAAATACACAACCCTTTCACGACCCTCTGTAATCAATAAATTAAAAACAATACTTTTGTAGTGTCTTCATAATGGTTGTTTGCAATTGCATATGAATCTTTATGAACTTATGTTGATTACCTTGGTGTGTGATAT